AAAACCTGAAGCTCCGCTTTGAGACTTTGAGAGGGAACACTCGGATTTTTCTGACCTTTTCAGAATTGTTCCAAACTTGTCACACCAATGTGAACTTTGATTCTTGGAAGACAACTTTCTTTGTGAGAAAGTTCATGACTTTCTGCGCTTGTCAGTTTCTGAACTCTCAGAAACAAATCTGAACTTGGATGCCACTTATGCTGCAGAAAGACCTGAGCTGGATGCTCTGTGGTGCTAGTACACCTGATTGCGACGGGTGCGACGTGTTATGCGCTGCGGCGCACTCGCTTTTGAGCCGGAAATACGCTTACCCTAACTTGTTATAGCTCTTCAAAATGTTTTATCCTTTTGCAAAGTGTTTCAAGGTTTTGTTACTAGTTACTACTTTCGCGCAAGGTGTCGCTAATTGCACACGAATGTTGTTGACTTGCATTAAAACTACGTATCTGCTTGTACCTTTGTCTAAAGATTTTTCACGTAACCAGATAATATTTTTGGCTCACCAGTTATTAAACAAAAACGTCTTATTCATCTTGTAGACCACAATACTTCAACCCGAAGTGCATGCGTGTTCCGTTTTTCGTTTCGGGCTGCTGGTTAGAACCCTCAGCGTGACATGGTGACAAAAAACCTCCGTCGAGTTTGCAAGTCTCCATTTCCGCTGCTGGCCAGCAAGTCTTGACAGGAAGGCTTGGCCACATGCCATGAGTTTTGAAATAGAATAGTTGCATGTTTCTGGAAGCTGGTTAGCCCTCGTCATTGGTTGAGCATCACGCTGGCATGTCAGGGCTACCGCACACAACGACTCTCGTGTGTGGCAGCACGTCAAGCCTGATGAGGCTAGGCGGGCGGCTTTGATGGAGCTTGCTTCAAAGCTGCAATTGAAACCATGTTGAAGTTCAAACCCAGCGCGGTGGAATGATCGCAGCCTACTAGAATGCATCAGTGTGTATATATCTACATTTACAGATATTTCTACGCAGTTAAATTCCTATCATCAGTACAGTAAATATATATATATATATATATATATGTACATACATATTTACATTTGTGTGCGTAGCATTCAAATGTGCTTTATATCTATATCTGTACTGGTTTTTGGAACACATTTATGATGTATGACTGAGAGAGGGGCACAGGCTATGATGTATTTGTGACAGTGAGAGAGGGGGACAGGCTCAGAGAGAGAGAGAGAGAGAGAGAGAGAGAGACAGAAAGCAAATAAACAAGGGAGAGAGCGAAGAGTTATATTTTGCTAAAACCTTGTATTCCCATGTTCCCGCTTAAGCGCCAGTCAGACAAGAGACGTGCGAAAAGAGACGCGCCGAGGGTTGTGACGAGGGACGTGGCCAGAGACGTGACGCGAGGGCCGACGACTCACGCGTGACAAGAGACGTGACAAGAGACGTGACGAGAGTTGCCAAGAAAGACGCGACGGGAAACGCGGACGCGACGGTGACGACTCACATGACAAGAGACGTGACGGGAGTCGCCAAGAAAGACGTGATAGAGGACGTGACAGAGTCGTGACTAGAGGCGCAGCGAGACACATGATGAAAGAAACGTGGCCAGAGTTGCTACGAGAGACGTGGCCTCAAACTTGCAAAATTGCCATGTTACCGCGTTCTTATATAGAAGTGTGAACATTCTCTGGCATGAGCTCACAGTGATTGTTGGCTGAGTTTTTTTTGAGAATTGTCATAGGGTCTATATAGCCGCAAGAGCTGCCTGAGAGGATTAACCCTCGCAGCTTCCTGCGCGTTAGCTTGCAAAGATTCGGGGGCTCTAGTTTGCAGAATTTCCTTTGCACATGCTTGCAGTGGTTTTAGGGCCTGATTTGCCTAAGCTACACATTAGGTTGGGTGGTAGCATGCGGAAATTCCCACGCGTCGTCTGCAGGGGTTCTTGCGTCATAGTTTGCAGAATTTCGGTCGTCTGTGAACTGGCAAGGTTGTTGGCATGGGACATCCGTCGCAAAATCAAGGTGTGACAGCCGAACTCGTCACAAAATCAGGGTGTGACGGCCGCACTCGTCACAAAACTGGGGGGTGTGACAGCTCAACTCGTCACACAATCGGGGATGCGCCATCCGAACTCGTCACAAAACTCGTTGTGCGACAGCCCTACTGCGCAACAAATCTCCGCAAAGAAGAGCCCACCATTGCCTACAGTCACACACACACACGCGCGGCAAAGGACTCCAGCAGCCCCTGCAAGTAGCACAGCGTGCGGACATTGTTTGATTTCCGGGTGCACGGTTGCTGGCGTTTCCCGCTAGCTTCCGGAATTTCCAGCGCGTTGCCTACAGGGATTGTCGGGGTGTAGCTGCAGAAATCCTCGTGCTGGCAAGGCTTATTCGCAGGGGCTATTTTGGTCTAGCTTGCGGAAATTGCTTGGCATTGGCTTTCGCAGATTGCTGGGCAGTACAGCAGTTCCACAAGCTAGGCCCAAACAACCTCTGCGTGGCAATGCTCAGGAAATTGCGCAGGCTATCTCTGGCAAACATTTCTGCAGGCAGGCTCACACACAGGAAGCTGCGCAAAGATTTACTCCAACAATCCCTGCAGGCGATCGCGTAGAAAACTCAACAAGCCAGGCAAGCCAAAGCTCAGCCATTCTGGCCAGCTAGCCCGATAGAAACTGCTCAAACTAAACACCTTGCAAGAATCTCTGCAAGCTTGCGAGCGGATAATGCGCAAAGTGAAGTTCAACAATCCCCAGAAGCTTCCGAGCAGGAAATTCTGCAAGCTAGAGCCCAACAATCCCTCCAAGATGGAAGCAACAAAGGCTGCGTGGGGGAGAGCTCGACAATCCCCACAATCCAAGCCAGACCCCGAGAATCTCTTCAAACCAGCTTGCAGAACATGGCAAAAGCAGCGTCAAACCTGCGTGCTCCAAGGACTGTGCGCAAGCTGGACCCCAACAATCCCTGCCAGAGATGCAACAACCTTGCGAGTTCACAGACGACCGAGATGCTGCAAACTATGACTCAAGAATCCCTGCAGACTACCGCGTGGGAAATTCCGCAAGCTACCGCCCAACCATCTCCGCAAGCTAATGTATAGCAAATTTGGCAAAGGAAATTCTGGAAGCTCCGCAAGTTAATCCTCTCAGGCAGCTCCTGACGCTATATAGCCCCTATCACAATTCCCCCAAAACAATTCAGCCAACAATCGCTGTGAGCTCATGCCAGAGAATGTTCGCAATTCTATATAAGAGCATGGTAACATGGCAACCTTGCAAGTTTGACGCCGGCAGCCCCGCCTTGTCAATTTGCGCAAGCAAGTCCGCAACATCTAGTTACCTCTTTATCCACACATGATCCTGCAGCACCGTTTGTTCATATAAAAACCTGCATGTGGGACAGAAGCGCGCGAGTGCCACGGAAGAGGCGAACGCGAATCACGCGATGTTCGCGATGCGCCCGCCCGATTTGTGGAGGGGGCACGCTCAACTGTTGGTTGCGGTAGGCAACGCCTTTTATGAACTTATCCTTTGAAGGACCCAAGGATGATGGGGGCCGTACAAGCAATCATAAGAATACAAATCCTGCAGCGCGTTGGTGGGTCGCACACGTGGCCCGGGCACACAGGAAAAAGCAGAGAGAATAAGCAACTTGACTTGAACATCGTCACAACTCCGGATGACTGGCACGTTATTCTGAATCAGTTGCGTCGCTCCCCGCAGAGTTGTAATCCTCAACATCTTCCCGCCGTGGGACTCGCAGCACAATGCCTTGGCACAAGCGCTGCGCGTGCAAATGCCACTCATCTGTGTGGCCACAGCAGCAGTCGCTGGGGCGATATTGTCATCGCGGTTGACACAGCAAACCCTAGATGCACAGCAAAACCCCGGATAGACGGAACCATGAATTACAGTGACCAATATCCATCAACATAATAGCCGTGTTAAACTGACCATTGTCGATCACTCTCCAGATGTGTCAACTATAGCTAGTCAGCGTTTACCGGAGCCAATAGCAACTGATTCTTTGCAATATCGGAGCCTCAGAGTCTCTTGGGCAAAGACACGCCGCCTCGCGCGCTCTTGGCCTTCGGCTTCGAGTCAAGCACCTTCGTCTTCCTTTTCCTGATGTATACTTCCTGCGAAGGATGCTCGGATCGCCTACTTCATCATCAAGAGCGCAGAGGAAGCGCTGCCTTCTGGTTCTTGGTGCGGCGTCGTGCCGCTTTCTGCTCATTTTTGACAGGCTTCAGAACCTTGACCGAGCTCGTAGTCACCGACTCTTGCAGATCCGCTGCGGCGCGTTTTGCCTCGTCCTTGGCAGGCGTCGCCCTCAGCAAAGCTTTGAGCCTGTTGCGAAGAGCTTTTGTTTGCACCGACCCAACCTGTGAGGAAGCAGCACTTCTCGTGGCTACTTCCTGAGCATGTCCTCTGTGAACCCGTGCCAAACTTGAGTCTGAATCACGCTCATACTCCGGATGACGCGCCACGCCTCGGGCCGCGATCCTTGCTGGGGGTAGCGCACAGTGGGCCGGTAGGTGTAACTGGCAGGCCACCATCAACAACACATTCCAAAGTTATTGGCGCAGCTCCTCCGCACTCAGCAAAATGCATACCGTTTTTTTCTCATTACACCCAAAATCGAAGCTCTCTTGGCAAATAGGATGTCATCTTGGCCCTCCACAAGAAAAAAGCCTCCAGGTCTGCCTCGTTTTGAGTTGCGCTCTCTGGGCCTCAGCGCCGCGATGAGCCCTCTAGGTGGGGTTGCAGGCCGACGCATCTCGGCTGGTCCCTCTGCCATTTGCTCCGCCACCCACTGCAGCTTGCGAAAGTCTTCCGGCAAACACCTGACCCGTGCGCCCCGCAAACTCAGCTGCGATTTGGCGAGGATTCGGCGCGATTTCACGAGAACAGCCGCGACTTGTAGGCCTGGGCATCGTCGGACGTCGTTTGCGCAAAAAGAAATCCAACGCGTAGTTAGCCAAAACGGCTGCGCGCAACTTGTGGCTCGACGAAAACCCTGAGCCCCGCGCTCAAGTTCATCCAGCATCTTGGCCCCTGACCTGTGTCAGCTGGCTACTCCACAGACTCCGTTACTTTCTGACACCCAAGCAACAAAGTGCGGAATTGTCAATTTTGGTGACAAGGAGTTGTATCCGTCGGTGACCCTACGACTGGTAATGCATCGCGGCATTGGGATCCATGTGCCCGGCTTGCAAAGAGCAGTAAACGGCTGGTTGGAAACAAGCCCACGACCCTGGGAGTCCGGGAGCCCTGCAGGTTGCGAAGCCTCCGCTTGGCGAGCGGCCAGGCCTTATCCTGCGCCAGCTACGAACCTGTGTCTGACGAGGAAATAGCGCAGCCCGCAAATCCCATTGCAGCCCGGCGCTGAGTTCCACACTTGCGGTTGCACTTGCACATCACACAAACAGTTTGGTTGTGTGTTGCTTGTTAATTCGCAAGAACCCACTCGTGATGCAACTCCACGGTCGTAATTCCAAAGCCTATGATATGGCAGCATGTTTCGCGTGCGACAAAGGAAAAACCACACGTTTGCTTGACACTTCAGAAAATTTTGCATGACTTATCTCACGTCTGATTCAGCCGGAAGAGATAGAGGCAATTGCAGATGTTATCACCAAGGCTCGAGTTGGGGGTATTTAACATGGTCAGCTGATCAGGTCGCCTGCTATGCTCTGCGCCCAACCTGGCAACTTCCAGCCTCTGACGGTTCAAGGGCTCTCTGCTCGCGACGCCGCCGCAGTAGCCTTGCCATGCTTCCAAGCCCCAAGCAAAGGCAGCGCGTTTGCCCCTGTGGCTAACAAACGTACATCGAACACACCAGTCTGGCGCAGCAGTTTGCAAAGAACATGAACTAGCTGAGTACGCTTGGCAATTCTGTCTCCCAGTGCCTTTAGCCTCTGCTACTGGAGTCAGAACTACCACAGCAGAACTGCGCAGTACCAAAACTTGCTGGGCATGCGCTTCCGCAGCTCCCGATGGAAAGTCGCAACTTTTCAGCACCGCGCAACGAACAGCACTTCGGCAGCTCCGGCTTGAAAGTCGCAGCTTGTCAAGACAACAGTGGCAAGCACAGCATGACCTCACCAGGCTTAGCCGCCCAAAGGGCCTAAACCAACACACAGCACACATACTGTCACCGAACACAGAACTCCTTGCGAGGATCATTTGCTCGGCACCAGTATCATATTGGCACCGGACGAATTTACTTGTCTGCGTGGTCGTAGTTGCTGGCCACTACTTCCAAGACGAACGTCACAACTTTTCAGTACAAGCGCAAGACGCGAAGAACACTTTGGCAGCACTGGCGGCTTTTCAGAACAAGAGTAGTACGTGAACGAAAGTCGCAACTTTCTATTTACAAGCCTGGTGTAGCACACGAAGTACACTTTGGAAGCTCCGGCTCAACAATCGCAACTTTTGTACTCAAGTGTTGCACGCAAAGTACACCTTGGCAGCTCCAGCTTGCAAGTGGCAATCTTAATGTGCAAGTGTGGTACGTGAAGTACACTTTGGCAGCTCCGGCTGAAACGTCGCAACATTCAACTACAAGTGTGGCACCAGGACTATGATGATGTGTGCGCTGGGTAATCGGCTTTGGTCTCGGCAGTCTCGTTTTACAGGCTCCACGCCACATTTGGGAAAGCCACGGTTGCTCCAACCAAGCGCCTGCCATACTTTGCCGGACGTCATAATGTAAGTGTAGCTTCACCGGTTTCAGGCAAATTTCCGCACATACCTGAGATTCAGACACTCGCTCCGCACCCGCCCGGGCTGCCCAGCGTCTTGCGACTTTCTGGCAAAAGCACGCCTTTTGCCGTCGCCTCGCGCGGCATGCGCAGCGCAACGCTCCAGCACCAATGGCAGCAACAAACCGATCCGCACCCTTTGCGTGATTTGGAGATGCGCTGCAACACCCTTGGTGAGAATGCTCCGCCCGTCCGTCTGTCAATTCATGCATCTGTTCAGCCCGTGATTCGGGGCCTATGATTTGGTTGCTGTCGCTCAGCGCGCCCTCTGAGCCTGGCCTTAAGCCCCAGCTCGTTCAAAAGCAAGGGCATCCTTGGCCTCCGCGACATGACATGTGTTGTCACAGCGCAGAAATCCGTTCACTGCGCTCGCCAGCATGGTCAAGGAACGGCATACGCAAGGCCATCTCACCCAAGCTCATGGTGGACATAATGAACTCCTCCGCTGAATGTGCTCCGAGCAGCACCCTTTGGGAAGGTTCACTCGAAAATAAACTTGCAAACGTGTTGGCCCTCAGCTGTGCAAACCATGCAGCAACACGCTCAACACACACTACCAGTTCTAAGCCTCCCACACCCTTCTCTTTTCTCTCCTGAGTATACTGCCGGAACAGGTCATGTCTGCCGTGATTCTAACACGAGGTTAAGTTCACTTCCAACTGGGACTACCCGGCGCCGGCTATGACATTCGAGCAGCCAAGATGGATTACGAAGCAGTCTCTTATGCGTGAATCTGTGGTTCCGAGATTGTTGCTAGAAGTCTCTGCAGCAGCAGCGCAATGCGTTAACTCTACAACTTTTCACAGGGCCAAAAATCGGCAACTTGCAATTGAATGAGTGACGCGAACACAACCTTACGCACATTTTGTTGAGAGTACCCCTTTTGGAGCGGTGCTAAAAAAAGGCACCTTGGCTCCCCTATCTTAAGACACCACGTATAGACTTTAGATAGGCAATACAGCAAGCAGCGTCAGGCATGCAGCAAGCTCGAAAACGACACCGTTACCCTTGGACTGAAACGTAACGCAGAAGTTGAAGGCTCCACACTGGTTGGGGTCCTGGATCCTTCCCAACCTGAGTTGCGGGCCCCGACACATCTTCTGCTGGCCTCAGGGCGCCGCGTCACTCCAAAGGACGCTCTGCAAACATCAGATTGCCAGCTGAGCTGGACACGTTAGCAACATTGCCTGGTTTCAACTCTCAGTCGCGGACGCTGCAGGCTCGGCCGGCTTCACATCCTCTGCGGGCCTGAGAAGTACGCCCGCTTGACGCGCCGGGCGTGCAAACCGGATCGCAACATCGCTGCTCGTTGGAAACACAGCTTCACCATGAGTCACATTCTTGAGACGCCCCTTTGGAAACGCAAGCAACACACCCAAGCGCTATGTTGGACTGCGAAAACGGGCGGTGCAGCTACCGCTAAACCTTATTCTATATGCTAAACCTTATTCTATATTGCTTGGAGGGAATTTTTGAAAGGGCTCAGTACAGCAAGGGTGAAGCGCTTGAGCCACATGTGCGTAATGATGCAACGCAACACTATTGTACATCACCAATGAAGACGACCCAACAACACCCCTCGCTTTGCGGAGGAATGGTGAGTAAGCCACCCAACCACCTTCGCTGGGCCCGGCGCAAGGAAATTTGAGGCTATGGCAACGCAGGCGTCTGGCGCTCAGGTGGGTGTGAAATGAATGAGTGATGTGTAGGGACATCTCATGCCACTGCCAATGCGCTGCGCAACCAATAACTCTATTACAAAACTCCAACTTTTGCACACGCGGGCAATGTGCCAGATATGTGATAGACGGCCGTGGCTTCCGCCGACATGAATGCGCGCCTTGAAGTTCGGCGGCAGTCTCACGACCGCGGCTTCCGCCGGGCTTGCAACAGTTCAACACTACGCTGCTGCCATGCGATGCTTTGAGTGAGGCTAAAATACACTCACCAAGTGGATATGAAACCTTAACATACCATCATCATCATCGTCATCATCATCTCACACATGAGCAAGAATGCACTGGTTTTGGCCAGGGGTTTTGTAATCGAAATCAGCAGCATCATCATCATCTCAAACATGAGCAACAATGCACTGTTTTTGGTTAGGGGTCTTGAAATCGAAATGAGGCAGCCCAAATCTTTGTAGTGGCAGACATGGTGCGCAAGCCAATTATATGGCAGCTAACACTTATCGGCCCATCTCCCACGCTCGGCATGGTTCCTGCAAGAGATACTGGGGATGCGTAGTAATACATCATTCTCCCCATGCGTCGCCATTATTATCATCATGATCATCTATCAGCATCATCATCATCATCATCATTACCGTCATCATCGTCATCATAACCATTATCATCTGCATCCTCATCGCCATCCATCATCACCATCATTACCATCTTCATCGTCATCATCTGACAAATGAGCAGCAATGCATTGATTTTGGTTTGCCCGAAACCAAGCAATTCAAATTCTCCTCATTTTGGCTGAAGTTTTTCCATCGAAATCAAGCAACCGAAATTCTCCTGATTTTGGCTGAGATTTTTCAATCGAAATCAGGCAGCCTAAATTCTCCCGGTTTTTGTTAGGGGTTTTGCAATCAAAATCAGGCAGCCTAAATTCTCGAAGTGGCAGACATGGCGAGCAAGCCAAGTGCATGGCAACAAAAATCTATGACCGATGAGCATAGTCAACACCCCAAGCTGCCAAAGCTGAGTTGTTGTCTCACTGCGTGGTGATTACTCAGAGCCAGTCATCATCATCTCTTATGAGGCAGCGTTGGTGCTGCAGAGGGTGCTACGATGATAGTTAGGATAATAATGCTCAGGATGTGAACGGTCATGATAACTATCATCGTAGCACCCTCTGCATTACCAATGGTGCCTAACGGCACACTTGAAATGTATATATAAAAGTGTAAAAGTAAAAGAAAGAGGTCATGCATCACCATCCCCATGATCATCATGATCATCTATCAGCATCATCATCATCGTCATCAGGAACATTATCATCTGCATCCTCATCGTCATCCTTTTTTATCATCATCATCATCATGAGCACCCGGCATCATCATTCACCATCATCATCATCATCATCATCGTCGTCATCTCACACATGAGCAACAATGCATTGATTTTGGTTAGGGGTCTTGCGACCGAAATCAGGCAACCCAAGCTATCCTGATTTTGGTTGGGGAGTTTGCGTTCGAAATCAGGCAAACTGGCCACAAGGACCGGTAAAACTAGCCCGCAGCTGGTTAAAAAACCGGAGGCAGCCCTTACATCCGGCTACGCCTCCTGGGGTAGCATGTCGCCGCTAGGCAATTTGCCTGCTGGCTTCAGCTATAGGGGCTGCGCCCGTGCGCCGCCGACCCTCATCACTTGGTCGCGATGCGTTGCCTAAATCCGGCACCTCTGCATCACCAGTTCGGGCTTGCGGTTTTGCTTGCCTGTGAGAAACCCTCGCGAAACATTGCGAGTGTGCGTGTGGCTGACATGATCAGGGTCTGGGGCTGGGCCTGGGTGATGCTTCAACGGGGCTTGGTCTGCACCATCGAGGCTTCCTTCCAAAAAGCCTCTCAGCCCATGACGCACTGTTTTTTAGAAGGTACTGAAAAGACTTAAGCAG